TACGGCCATTTGATTTCAATTCAACTTTTGCGAATATCAGCTTAAAGTAACTTTCACAGAGCGCTTATGGACAAACTACGTGGGGTAAAACTCATATTGATGTTATGGGGTGATTTCTTATATGAGTGAAGTGTCCCGGCCAAAACTGTCATATACCCGGGGTAGGATAGCCAAGCAAAAACCAGGTGAAGCGGGCTGCAGCTATCAGCAATTCCCTCACTTCAACTGGAGGCTACAACAAATCATTCAAGTTAGTGTAAAATCGTTATATTCCTTTTCATATGACAATTCACCAGTCGTTGAATATACGCAAGAAATACAAGAAATACAAGTGTTCTGGTGTGGAGTTCGGAGTCAAGTGGCAAACCATAGAATGACAACCACATACGATGGTTAACATGAGACTTTGGTGGAGTCGAAGCTGTCATCTGAACAGGTGGAGGCGAACCTAAAGGACACTCTTATACCTCATACACACACCACGTACGCACAATTATGCATAGCAAAAGATATAGTGAAACTATCACTATGAGCACCAGAGAACCCTTTACATACACCAACATCCACAGTGTGTATATAATAACGGGAACCGTGGAAATCTCATGGATTAATAATGACAATATCATCACAGTTAGATTAAGATTCTCATTCGTAATATGATGCAAATGCATGTTATTCTTTAATGTTTAAGCAATCAATTATCAACCTATTTTACTCCAACATAAACCTCAAGTCCGCAGTCGCAAGGAACATGATTCCAGGCATAAGCTGCCAACCTAATATTGGGATAAAGAACTAATAGCGTAATATTATTTCAGGCGTAGAGTGTGGGAGGGTGGACGAACAAAACAAGTATTATAATACATACATACATATATATATATATATATATATATATATATATATATATATATATATTATATATATTGGTGTGAGTTTGTGTACTTAATTCGTTTACCTCTGATAACTGCAGAAGCTGCTGTCAATCAACATCTAATTTTTCTAGTAATAATCTCTAGTCGCATTTATTCCTGCCTCTCGCATGATTTTCCATATGCTTGCAATAAAACTGACTCAGTTACTCAAATTTTGGCAAACAAGTTCCAAACTAAAATATTCTCCATACAAAGCCAATGATCAAATCACTACTATGCCCGTGGAAGCACGACTTCATTAAGAAATCAACATTCAAGTTGGCAGTTGTCTTTTTTCCCAGAGATACATTTTTCTGTTTTCTTCATTGAAAAAAAGAATTGGACATCAGTCACTATCAACGTTTCTTCCCAAGACATAAAAACAGGTCGTAGAAGATAATTCAACATGCTCGAGGTCTCCTGCCGGTATAAAAGGCGTTGCAGCTTCGAAATTAACACTCACACATCGCCATGTATCGTCTGGGAAGTTTACTCGTAGCTCTCGCCGTGGCCGGGACTGTCGGTGAGTTGTTTACTTCCTGTTTGGCTTTAGGTCATCGAACTCTTTCTCTCTCTCAAATAAAAAAAGAAGTGTACATACATGAATATATATGTATGTATATATATATGTATATGTATTTATATATAAATACATAGGCATATTTATATCTATATATATTATATATACACATATGTATGTGTATATATACATACATACATATGTATATATATACACACATGTGTGTATATATCCATATATACATATGTATATATATACACATATATGTGTATATATACATATATACATATGTATATATACACGCACATACAAGTATATATATTTATGTATATATATATATATATATATATATATATATATATATATATTTATGTATATATATATCTTCTAATGCTCTGTCCTACGACGGGTTCCTTTTCATATCTATCTTCTATTCACCCCTTTTGTGTGAGTGTGAGTGTGTGTGTGCATACATAGATAAACACACACACACACACACACACACATATATATATATACATTATATAACAAACATATGAAAATCTTTATTTGTAATACGTTTCAAAGACGACCAGTCTTCATCTTCAATATTACAAAGAACGAACAAAATAAATATATTAGAGCCAGACAAGGCAGAAAAAAAAGTTCAAAATTATTAAAATCAAAATCAAATCGAAACAACAAGGACGTATGTACAAACGAAACGACAAGTAAAACACACAAAATACTAAACAGGTAGTTACGGCCGCAAGACTCACCGTAAATAGCTGTATGGCTGTAGTGTGATCGTTTTGCTCTGGCTTCATCTTATGGATAAACAAAGATCCAGAGATTAGGAGGTCGAGTCTGTTGGAAGATTTGGACTGAATTTTGAAATCGCTGTGAGGGCAGGGGTAGTTTTTATCTGTTGGCACTTTCAGTTATAATCTGGCTAAATTTCTTGTACAAATCATTCACCCTCCAATGTATAATGAATACACGATTTCCAGCTCATCGAATTTCATGAATGAAATCAGTCATTTAAAAATTTAAGACACCGTAACTATGGCTAGTTGTGATGTCGAGTCTTTGTTTAAGAAGGTACCTCTTCCAGATACTACACAAGTCATCACTAACAATAAAACAGCTGAATTCCTTTCACAATTTGCTTTAGGAAAGAAACCGTTAATTTCTCTTTAGATATTATCACAAAAGATTCAGTTTTTACTTTTGACAACCGTTTGTACGCTCAGATCGATGAAGTTACTATGGGTTCTAACATTGGCCCTAGTTATGCTAATGCTTTTTTTATGTTATCATGAAAAGAACTGGCTACAAAACTGCCCACTGGAATTGAAACCCCTGTTTTACAAAAGATAGACACATTCTATCCTACCTTAATGACCAACATCATAACATTTTAAGTTTACGCACCACAAAAGTACAAGATTAATAGCATATCTACCTTAATCAACAGAGCATATAGCATTTGCTCAATCTGGTCCCTTTTTGATATGGGAATGACCTTCTTATTAAATTACTTTGAAATAAATGGTTACCCAGACAGTATTTTTCAGAAAACCCTGAGATTATTCTTAAATAACTAATTTTGTCAGCCTTTAAAACTTACGTCTGTTTCTAAGCAAACCAAACACATCAAATTACCAATGATTAAGTTATTACGTTCGAAAGCAATTAGGTGAGTTACTCAAACATTCATTCATTCAAAAATTCAATATAGTTTTCGTGAATAACCATACTATCAGCATTTTTCTAAAAAAAAAAATACTAGGTGTATTGAATCAACATGTTGGTTCAAGCTCAGAATTCTTGAACATATGATGAAGTCCATAAGAATAGGCCTATCTCCGAACAAACCGGCGTTCTCTTCTGTTCGCACATGGAAAACCAACCCTGCACTCACAGCGATTTCAAAATTCTGTCCAAATCTTCCAACAGACTCGACCTCCTAATCTCTGAATCTTTCTTTATCCATAAGATGAAGCCAGGGCTAAGCAGCACAACAGCCACACAGCTTACGGTGTAGTCCTGTTTAGTTCTTTTCTGGTGTGTTTTACTTGTCTTTTCGTTTATACATACATCCCTTGTTGTTTCGTTTATTTTTCTCTTTGTTTCACTTATTTTGTTACTTTTATGATTTTGAAGTTTTTCTCCCCTGTCTTGTCTGGCTCTAATGTATTTATTTTGTTCGTTCTTTGTAGAACTGAAGATGAAGACGGTCGTCTGAAACGTATGCTTAATGAAGATGTTCCTCACAGCCTTAGTTATCCTTTTCATCATAAGATGGCAAGTTTATTGCTGAAATTCACTCATAAATAAGTAAATATATATATGTATATGCACATTACATATATATATATATATATATATATATATATATATATATATATATATATATATACGATTTATAACTATATTCATATATATGTATATCTATGTACACTAAATATATATGTGCGTGTGCACATATACATACACTTATGTATATGAATATATATCTATATGTACACATATAAATATATATACATACATATTATATATGTATATGCATTTATGTAAATATATGTATATATACGTACTTATATAAACATACAAATATATATATACATACATATATACATATATATATATATATATATATATATATATATATATATATATATATATATATATATATATATATATATATATATACATGTATACATGTACATATGCATATTAATGTGTGCGCGCGCGCATGTAAGTAGATACATACTGAAAAAAAAAACATTTTCAAATTAATCTCAAGTATCATGTTATAAAATCAGGGCAACAAATGAGAAGTTTGTTTTAACAGTTTTAAATGCAGTGATAACATTGTGTACCTTACCATACTGCATAAACGCCTAAAGGCCCTCTCATACGAATGCCTTTTCCGACATTTACGTTTCCGTGTGAATCTGCAGAATTCCGCTTATATCGCATGCATCCGTAACATCTAATAGATGACAATGGTAGCAGCTGCCTTAAAATCAAAATTAATGTTGCTATTGATGACGTTTCGTTAGCCAATATAATATGCCCATTTTGACACATAAAAAGGAATGGCTGGGCTTTCTGAGAGCAATAACTGTGCTACCCTGCTAGATCAGCATATCTTGAACTGGGCTGTTTGAGGGATTGTGGGGCAGTAGCTGTGCTACACGACCATGCTTGCGGAATGGACTTTCTCGGATGGTGCCATGTCTGTTTACAAAGGAGAGGCTGTTCTCTCCCAAAGGGAAAAATCATCATTGTTTATTTGGAAGGGCAAAAGTGCTAGTGATAGGGACTTAACATTGCTGTTTCAGTCATTTGAAAGAAGCTTTGAGGCGTAATCTTATGTTGGGGACATTGTGTAGACTCTCTAACTACAAAATATTTTTCCACAAAGTTAAGCACTTGTTCCTCAACAAAGACAAAAGCCATAGTCAAAATCACACACGTGCCCACAGGTGCCCAATGCCCCGCCACGTTCTTCGAGGCCGGGGGAGGCTGCTTCCACGTCATAGACACTGAGACGGACATCACGTGGGAAGACGCTCGGG